GACCCGTGCGTACTTGCATGGTGTGCTGGCACAGGCTGACACCGAGAACAACGTGGACAATCCAGGAGACCAGAGTCCTGACTCTGGTTCTGCTGCTAACTTGCTGTCTAGCTTTGTGCTGGACCTTCCTATGCCTCAGTTTATTCATTTGTAAAATGAAAGTACTGTCTAGAAAATCACCAGTGTACCTTGCAGCTCTAAAAACACCATAATGTAATTCAACCTTGGGCAATTTCTGAAAATCCTCAACAGCACTTGTGGCCATGGCATTTTTGACTCAAAAGGCCAGGGGCAAATGTACTTGTTTAGATTCACAATGAACTGGGAGGTTCTTGTCATTACAAAGACTACTTGGAGAGGCAGTTTAGGACCGTGGTCCCCAACCCCCAGGCCATGGACTGGTACATGTTCCTGGCTCCTTAGGAGGTGAGCAGCAGGCTAGCCAGCAAAGCCTCACCTCCCCATTGCTCACCTTAGCTCCGCCTACCCTACCCCACCCCCCATCCATGGAAAAATTATCTTCCATGAAACCAGTCCCTGGTGCCAAAAAGGTTGGGGACCACTGCTATAGAAGGTGAGATTTTTAATAAATGTCAGAAAGGAAGATGTAAAAATGACAATTATCCCATGGATTTAACATAGTGGGCAGAATGCTGGTTTTCCCAGTTACTAATAATTGTGCCTGTCAGTGTGCCTGCCCCTAACTTCTGCAAAGGTGACTTCAACTCCTCGGTGATGTTTCCATGATTTGGAAGTTCTTTTGGCCAGAGCATGATTTCCAATGATTCTCTTTTTTTTTTTTAAGAACAGCTTTACTGAGATATAATTTGCACATCACAACATTCGCCAATTGTAGGATTGAAAGGTTTTTACTACCTTCACTGTTATACAGTCATTATCACAATTTTAGAACAGTTTCATCACCACTCTCCAAGAAAAACCCTGTACCCGTTCGCAGTAACTCACCGTTTGTTGCCCCTCACGCACACAAAATACCCCACTCCCCAGCCCATAGCAACTACTAATCTACTTTCTGAATCTGTAGATTTGCCTAGTGTGGACATTTTATATAAATGAATCATATAATATGTAGCCTTTTGTGTCTAACTTCTTTCACTTAGCATGATGTTTTCAAGGTTCGTCCATGTTGTTGCATATATCAGTACTTCATTCCTTTTTATGGCCAAAAATACCTGCACTATATGGATTTACCACATTTTGTTTACACATTCATCAGCTGATGGACATTTGGGTGGTTTCCACCTTTTGGCTGTTATGAATAATGCTGCTGTGAACTTTTGTGTACAAATTTTGTGTGAACATATGTTTTCAATTCTTTTGGGTATGTAGCTAGGAGTGGAAGTGCTAGGTCACATGGTAACTCTGTGTTTAATATTTGGAGGAACCACCAAACTGTTTTCCAAAGTGGCTGTACCATTTTATATTTCCACCAGCAATGTATTAATTATGAAGGTTCTATTTTCTCCAAATCCTCACCTATACTGCTAATTGTCTACATTTTTTTAAATTTCAGAATATTACAGAGGTATAAATGTTTTGGTTACATGAATTGCTTTTGTAACATTTGAGTCAAAATTATAAGTTTGCCCATCACCCAGACAGTGTGCATGGTACCCGTTAGGTATGAATTTACCCATCCCCTCCTCCCTGCTCCCACCTGCTTGATTTCTGATGAATGTTATTTCCATATGTGCTCATAACTATTGTTCGATTAGTTGCAGTTAAATGGTGAGTACATGTGGTGTTTGTTTTTCCATTCTTGTGATACTTCACTTAAAAGAATGGTCTCCAATTCCATCCAGGTTAATACAAGAGGTATTAGTTCACCATTTTTTTTATAGCTGAGTAGTACTCTATGGTATTTATATCTGACATTTTATTAATCTATTCATGCATTGATGGGTACTTGGGTTGTTTCCACATCTTTGTAATTGTGAATTGTGGTGCTATAAACATTTGAGTGCAGGTGTCTTTTTTATAGAGTGTCTTTTCTTCCTTCAGGTAAATACCACTCTCGATGCGCCCAATCTCTTCTGTCCACATTTTTGATTCTAGCCATCCTGGAGGGGGTGAAGTGGCATCACCTTGTAGTTTTGATTTGCATGTCTCCCTGTGTAGCAGCTTTTCATGTACTTATTGGCTATTTGTGTATCTTCTTTGGGGAAATGTCTAGTTAGAACTATTGATTCTTTGAGGCATTACAATAACTTTCTCAAACAATCCTCCCCCAAAGGCAAGACAGGAGGATGCTGTGTAGAGCGCTCTACAGTTAGGGCCCCATCAGCAAGAAGTTTTTCATAAAAACTCCCTGGAGTGGGAAGGGAGGAGGTGTGAATTCACAATCAAGATTCACAGAGCTCCTCGAGTAGGCTGAAATCTTTGCAGTTTTCTTAAAGTAAAAGGGAAACATAAGGCTTTGTATGAACCAAACCTTGCTTTTCAAATTTTGGTTGTTTGGCATCATAGTAGGAATTTATAGTAGGACATTTCACAGGTTTTGTTTTTCTTTCCATAAAATCAAGATGTACTTAAAACAATCATGTCTGCAGCTAGGACACAGGGAAGACCAATGCTAACGCTTATGAAAGGCTGCTACGTGCCAAGCTGTTTGCATACTTTATTCTTATAGCCACAATCTAGGTGGTTGCTATTGTGAGCCACATTTTGTTGATGAAGAGATTGAAACTTAGATATAATAAACTGTCATTTCTTAAGGCCACCAAACCATTAAGGGATGGGAAATGAACCAGGTGTGTCTGGCTACAAACCTCAAGCCCTCTCCTTTGAGTTTGCTGTTTTCTTTTGCTTTGCTCCTCATCTAATGTATAGATGGCACTCTTCGCAGGTTTCTAAACAGACTGCCTAATGGTCTTTCCAAAAAGCACGGACCATTTGCAGTCCCACCAGCATGACATGAGTGGACACTGAAACAAACATCAGTCTCCACGGTATTTTAATGTTTCCAAGTGGTTCCGTTTTTCACTGGTCTCTTTGCTTGAAATTCTGTTTTTAACTGTTTGTTTTTATTGAAAGACAAATTAACTGCAGCTTTTAAAATTTCTTCAACTACCTAGTGAGCACTGACTGAGAAGACCAAATACTTGTTTGTAGGGAATGAGGTTCTGTTTGGATGTGTTTGTTGATTCTAGTTTTGGATTTTATTATTCATATTTTTGCTCATATTTTTATTTTGGCTAATTTATCTCTCATAGGCTAATTAGGGTGAGTTTGACTTTCCTGGTTTGTTTTGGTCACCCTGAGCCAGGTGACATTTAAATTTTGATTATTCTTATATGTAAATATGAAACGATAAAAATGTGAATAAATGAATAAAACCAAGCCAATGGATACTGGTGGTGGGATTGTCCAACTTGTTCCTTCCCATGTTCATTGGATCAAGATTTCTGTTTCTGGCAACACGAAGGATTAGATAAGTTAAAAATCCTACTGGTATAAAATAAAAATAGAAATACTGACTCAAATATTAAAAATGCCCTTGGAATTCACAGGAAGAAATTGAGCATCATTATTAAGGACACAGGGTCTCTAGGCAATCCAGGATTGCAGGTGTGAGAGGGAAGGAAAAAACTGCCACATGATTGTCTGTATGGAAATTCACGTGTATTTTGTCCCTTTAGACTCCGAATTCCTTAAGAATTAGGTCATGCAGAGCTTTTAGAGTTCCAAGGCTTGCTGTGGAACACTGGGTGAACAGTATATATTATTGAATGAATAAATGAATATTCACTGTCTCCAGGAAGTAGTGAGGGGACCATGGCATAACACACACACTTACAGACAGACCCCACTTTCAGAAAATGATTTAGAAAATCTAGGCATAAAAGAGATACGTTAGGTAATAGTTTAAAAACAACATTTCACTGTATAGTTAAGTGTACATACAGACAGAATTTATGGCACGAGAGACTGGAAAATTGAAACAGAGGTGTTAATGGCCCCTGGGAACCAGAGAGCAATGAGGTAAAAAGAAAAAATCTGAGATTATATTGAGGAAAACTATAAGCACTCGATTGACTCTCAGTGTTTATGGCTGGTCAGACTCAGGCCCACAAATTTTTTTGTTACATTTTTGAAGATCTACATTCTAACATTTAGAGGGTTTGGTATTGTCACTCATATGGCCTTTGTTCCAAATGCTCCTCTAAATACAGCGTCTACCCTCTGGCCCCAGCCTCAGTGAAGCAGAGGGGCATGCTAAATGCCTGATTTCTCCCACCTTTCATTCATTCATTCATTCATTCACAAGTGTGTATTGAGCACCAGCATGGCCAGCAACACTTCCGGAGTCAGTGGATCTTGAAATGAGCTGCACAGACTAACCTGAGTAGCTCAAAACCCTGGGAAGGTAGCATTGATTTGACTCTTAGTATAGATGGCCTATAAAATGGTGCTTATATACACAACCACATTTTTCAATAGATGCACATAGAATTATAAAATTCAAATGTATCATATAGAAAATGATTTGCAGCAGTATGGTGAAAAGTATGGTACACTGGGAAAGCACACACTGTAGTCATACTAAAATGAGTTCAGAAATAAGATTAAAATCAAATGTCTGCCTAGGCAAATTATGTCAACAGTCCTGATTTCCTCTCTGGGAGGTCAGGATGTTTGGGAGAATCAATGAACTGAAGCGTGTAACAGGGTGACCGATGTGCAGTGATGGCGCAACACCTGCACGTTCCTTTGGTGTCCGTGTGTCACATCCCCAAGCACATCGCAAGTGAAATCTTTCTAGGGACAGAATTCTCATGTGTTCCTTGGAATTCTCCCCAGATGTCAGCCTGGTCCCATACATAGGGCAGTACTGTTGATTAGGAAACATTTTAGAGAGCCTGCTACCAATCCAGCATCATGCTGGGACTTTCTTGCCAGAGTGTTTTCAAAGTGTTTAGGAAGTAAAAATTGATGCCTACCTAGATTTGGAATAACGGACTTTTCCTTTATGGTTGCAGATTGAAGATGAACTTATGCTGGCACCAGGATTTGCAGCCCCACCCTACCTAGATTATTCAGGCTACCACCAGTACGTAGAAGAGATGCTTCCTCCAGAAAGCCCCACACTGTACGGCCTCCACCCAAATGCTGAAATAGAATTCCTGACAGTGACATCCAGCATCCTCTTCAGAACTTTGCTGGAGATGCAGCCCAGGAATGCACTAAGCGGTGATGAACTGGGGCCATCTACAGAAGAAAAGGTAGTGGGTCTGTCTGTTCTTTTGTTAAACGGTGGTATAACTTATATACGCTGAAGGGTCCTAATCTTAAGTGTACAACTCAATGAAGTGTTACCTATGTATATACTCACATAACCACAACCTAGATCAAAATATAGACCATTTACATTCAAGAGGGATACTTATACCTTTTACCAGTTAATTTACCTCCCCATTTCCCAAAGGTCATCAATATCCTTACCTCTATCATGACAGATTAGCTTGCCTGTTTTTGAACTTAAAATACATGGAATCATACTTTATGTACTTATTTCTGTCTAGCTGCTTTTATTCTGCATTACATTTGAGATTCATCCATGTTGTCCGTGAAACAATGGTTCATTTTTAATTAGCATTCTGTATGAATATACAATTCTTTATTCATTATGTGAATGGATGTTTGGGTTGTTTCTACGTTTTCACATTTATGAATATCACAGCCAGCCATGAACATTCTTATATAGTCTTTTGTCAATAGACAAAGTAACTCCCAAAGGTATCCACTGATGATATTTATTTTTCTGTACCTAGAAGTGGGATCACCAGATCATAGGGTATATAATGTTTAGCTTTAATAGTACTCAAGAGTTTTCTAAAGTGGTTTTATCAGTTACACTCCCACCAGCAGTGTATGAGAGTTCCAGTTGCTCTACCTGCTTGTGGTTTTGTTAAAGGTAATGCTATCTCATAATGGTTTTAACTTTGCATTCTGCAGTGGAAGAATAATGTTAGCATCTTTTCACATGGCTATGCCCATTTGGATATACATTCTTGCGAAGGACCTGTTCTAGTGCTTACCCACTTTATAATTGAGTTATTAGTCTTTGATATTTATAAGAGCTCTTTATTCTGGTTGTGTGTCCTTGATCAGATATATATATTGCAAGTATCTACTGACTTGTCTTTCACTCTCTTAATGTGTTTTCAGCTCTATCATTTTGTTATGGCATCTTTTTTACATTGTCTTAGGAGATTAGCATTATTTTTTAAAGCTAATTATTACCCTAGAATGATGGGGATAAAATAATTGTTTAAACTTTAGATTAAAGTCTTGTTTCTCATTAACTAAAAATCTGAATAGTTGACTTCCCCTCAAATAAATTACCCCTTATTTCTGTCTCAAAATTATTAATCAAGATTTGACTGACAAGGATTTAGGTTGTTGAAACCCAGTAAACATCAGATCTAATTATAATGAGGTCCCAGGAATTGTCCATATTATTTCTTGAAATTTTTCAATTATTTCTTAAAATAAGGCCATTCATGGAGACACTCATTATAATTCAGAAGCTTTAGAAATTTGTTAGTGTTGTTTTATCCCATATACTAATTTCTTTATAAGATTGTTACATTTTTAAAAGATGAACAAGGAAAAAATTCATCCATTTGGGAAACAACTGTACAGCATGAATAGAATCAGAGAGGTGGATGAGGTCTGCATGTGGTTTTTGCACTTCCATCTTTCCAACAAGGAAGCTGATCATTACATCACAAAATGCAGAGCACCTGAGGCAAAGGTGCCTTGACACCCCAGAGAGGCAAACAGATTGTAACAATGACCACATATTGGGCGCTTACTGTATGCTAGGCACTATAGAAAGTGCTTTGCAGATGATACCACTTAATCCACAATAGCTCTTAGTGGTATCAGGATCCCTATTTCTGACATGACCTTACGTGACTTGCCAAATCCAGGCAGCTAGAATGGGCCCATGAAGGAAATGAAATCCTGGCTGATTGCAAAAGCCATTCTTTTACCTAAATTCTCTGTGACAGTTTCATACTGTCTACTGCTGTTGTAAATGAGTTTAAGATTTCAGAACCTGACAAATTACCTGCCAGAGTGCTAAAGTAACCTGCAGGCAGGATGTCAGAACTGCAGGCAGGAATCCAAGAAATCAAGGAAAGAAGGAAAGATCCCTGAGGCTAAAGACAGGCAGTGTTATTCAGTCTTCTGTCCTTTCTAGGTATTTATTGGTTTTTCCCAGCTCAGTGAAGCTGCATAGATGGAACAAGTATGTGTATCTGAGTACTAGGTGCATATTCACACCTTCAATATATAAATCAATTCTTCAGGGCAACAGTTATAGAAGATAGATGCTTCCTTGTTGTTAAAAATGAAAGTTCCAGGAATTTTTGAATGCCCTGGTTGGGAGGGCACAGCATCAGAATCACCAGAATTAGCTCATGCTTTAAGGGGCTCTTTGATTCATGTGGCTTTTCAAATGATGTTGTTAATTTAGCAGATTATAAAATACAGTACCCAAACGATGGGCTTCTGCTTCCTCCAATCCTATCTTTACATACAAATGATATATAGTCGATGACAGTTCTATACTCCCTAAATGCAAAAAATGAATAACTGCAAATAAACAGTAGCTCCTTCCCGACTAGAATTTGGGATCTAAGGAAGGGGAGGTGCTGGCGGTGGTACAGAGGCAGCTGAGGGAGTTGGCATTGCCACTCTGCCCACCTCCTGGGAGCAGTGGGCATGTTTTAAGTGCATTCATAGGCATGTTTGGAAACCGTATGATCTATTCTTGGATTTCAAAACGTAGAGGCTATATATAGTCACCAAGACCACAACTGAAATAAAAAGGAGCTAAATCTTTGTTGTTAATGATTTAAGGTTAAGAATGTCTTGGATGACATTTTGGAGAAACTTCCAGAAGAGTTCAACATGGCAGAGATAATGCAAAAAACCTCAAATAGAAACCCCTATGTTCTTGTTTGCTTCCAAGAATGTGAGAGGATGAATATTCTCATTCGGGAAATCCGTGCATCACTTCAACAATTAGACCTTGGTTTGAAGGTAAGTTTAAGTGGGACTAGAGCAGCTTCATCACATTGGAAGATATTCAGTATGTGGCCTTTTTTCTCTGTGCAAGGGGGAGCTGACATTATCTCCCGACGTGGAAGCCCAGCAGTCTGCGCTGAGTTATGACACGGTGCCAGACGCTTGGAGCAAACTGGCTTATCCCTCTACTTACGGCCTAGCCCAATGGTAAGCTACCCCATCTCATCACCACTGGCCCTTCATCAGCCTCGATGCTGGGTTAGTGTTCTGAATTATGACTCGTAAGAACTATGAAGATTGTGCTTTGTGACTGTATTCAGCCTGTAACTGTGCAAACACTATCACCAGTTTCATTTGAGTCTCCTTAGTATATTGCTTCAAAGGCAAAAATCAGTTAAAAGTCCGGGTCAAATTCTGCCTCACACTTATTAGGTATCTGATCTTAGAGAAAATACCTAATCTCTCTCTGTATCATTTTTTTTCATCTGAAAATGTAGATAATAGAATTCCCTCATTGAGTTGTTGTAAGATTTAAACGGCCATGGAAGGCAACTTGAGTTTGACTTCATGTCATCTTATACCCTTACTTTCCAAGCCAGTGATTACTAATGCCCTCTCCTAGACATCGTTTTAATGTTTGTAATATGGTATGCTGTACGCAAGACTGCCTTCAACATGTGGGTATGACTGCAGAGATGTGTCACAAAGCCAGGCAGAAATTCACAGATCACTGAAGGCTGGTGGGATCCCCAGCTTCTCCTTGGCCTGGGTAGACAATTCAAGACTCTCTTTTTGGTGCTTTTCTTTACCCCTGCTTTCCTGAATCATTCTTCCATGAACCAGAACACTACTCTGAGCCTTAAACTGGAAGGTCCAGTAGAATCCCAAAGGATCACAGGTTGGAACTGTCCCCCGGGCACCCAGGCGCTGGATGTGTGGGACGGTGCAGACATAAAGTGGGGAGAGGGGAGGCGAGGTGTAAAGACCACAGATGACAGCAAGTAACTGCAGCAGGGCAGGCAGCAGAACCCTCCACACATTTCTAATGCTACAAATATCCAAAATAGAATTTTAAATCTCAGAGATGAAGGATTTATCTATATAGTTTATGTTTCACGATTAGTGATACTTATTTCCACCATCTTATTTTGTGCTTCCTGATTTCTATATTTTTCTCAGCTTTTTCCCCAACCCTTTCTGACTTCTGTTGATTTAATCATTTTCTTTATTTGGTGTCTATCCCTATACCACTCCCATTATTTTAGTGGAGACCCTTTACGTTGTAACATACACACCTTTGATTTTTTCTAACACAATGTAAAGTTCCCTTAGACCCTTCAGCCTCCCTCTGGTCTGGAATTGTAGTTCAATCTTATTTTAATGACTGTCATATTTCTGTTCTCATTTATAGTCAATAATTATTTTTACTGTAACAATATACTGTATCGATTTTTTTGTCCATTGTTGCTTTTCATGTCTTGTTCTGGGCTCCTTTTTCTTTTTATCAAAGTATAAAATATAGTAGGTCCTTGGAGAGGGGTATAAATCATACGCTGTGCCTGAAACTGTCTTCATTGCCCTCTTGATTGATAGTTTACTTATATGTAGAATTCTAGGACACAACAATTATTTTCCTTCCAACTTTGGTGTTTAACTCTTCTTTTCTAGCATTGATTGTAGTCTGTTCTTAAATATATTTGTCATTCCTTCACGAGCTTTTAAGACTTTGGTCTTTACCCTTAGGGTTTTACAATTTTATCGATATATTGAGGTATGGACTTCTAAAAACGTATCGTGCTTGGTACTGTGTGCAGTTAGAAATGAGTCCAGCTATTGCTTCCATTCTGAAAAATTCTCAGGCCTTATTTCTCCAAATATTGCCTCCCCCCTCCCATTCTCTTCATTATCTGCACTTATCTACCTGAATTCTCATACTTTGAATCTCTGGGTCTCTCAGCTGTATTCTGGTCGACTTCATCATTCTGTGTGATCTTCATTATGTCTTTAACTGTCTTGTCTGTTTACTCCCTTGATTTAATTACTTAATTTTTGCTGTCCGTAACTTTCAATCTCAAGTTCTTTACATTTTTAGAAGAGTGCCTGACCTAGTTTCATAATTTCCTGTTTTTGTTTTTATTCTTTTTCTGAGGAGTTTAAATATACTTATAAATGAGTCTCTTTTCCAAGATTCTTCTATTTTTATTTCCTGGGTTATAAACCTTCCTATTTGTTGAACTTGCTGGTGGTTTTTCGTGCCATACAGACTGCTGTCTTTTTATCTGAATGATACTTCGGTTATACAAAAAAAAAGGTAACACACTCAGTTGGAGGGCTCGGTAGCCATCACTCTATTCTCTGGTCAAATGCGGTGGAGATATCCAAGGTTTTCATAATTTTTTTCCCCTTTAAAAATGGCTTCATGTTTTTCCCTGGTCATCCAGGGGATTGATTATCTTCATAGTCCATAATGTTATTAAGATATGCTTTAGTATTGATTATTCTGTGCCAAATTTCCTTGGAACATGATTATACAAACTCAATTTTGTAATTTAGGAAAACTAAAATTTTCTCGAATTACATTATTAAATATTGTTTCATCAACTTTCATCTTATTTTCGCTGTAACCCTTTATTTCCATTTTTTATTATTCTCTTACGCTGCTTCACTTTCCGCTTTCATTACTATAATTGTTTTTTCTATTATTTCCTGAGATCTTCCAACTTAATTTCCTCACTTTTTCTTCCCTGATCCCTTCCCTAAAGCATGATTTTGTTTGTATAAGCAATCACTTCATGTCTTTTAAATTGTTGCAAGTTGTCTGGCTGCAATGTCTGTCCTCGTGTGGCAACATTTGATGGGAAGAGTCTTTTTCTGCTCTTGCTTTTCCTGATCTTTGCCTTTTTTGCATCACCTTTGTGTAGAGACTATGCTGTTCCTTTTTATTCTCTTCCAGTACATTTTTCCTAATCCAACTATTTGAAAGAATTTAATATGGGCCAGGGCACAGATCCCTGTTCTAAGCCGGCAGGAATTTTCCCTGTAGCGACCCAAGTTGGAACCTGAACATTCTGAGCCTTTCCTTCTTCACAGCCCGGAGTCAGCCAAGTACCAACTACCTCAGGCAGACACCTTCCACAGTGGTGGCTTGTCAGGGCGACTCCTCACTCAGTCCCACCTCCTGTGCAACTGTGAACCAAACAAGGTCCAGAAGACTTCAGAGCTAGCCCATGAGCCCCTTGCGCTGGAGAACTACTTTGCTGGCTTTCATGTTGAGGCTCTGCTCTCTGTGCTCCATTCCTCTTTTTAGCAGCCCTTAGAACCTACGCTTCAGGGTTTCACAATTCTCCTAATTTTATCAAAGAGAGTGGTTTGTCCTTAGCCTCCGTGAGCCATCTTCCTTACAGGTAAGTTGCAGCTACTTCCTACCTTGCACCACTGTGAATAGATGAGAGTACGTATGTAAACAGCAGCATTTCTCAAACCACAGACATGCAATTGATGGCAGATTGTTATCCTTAATAACCTTTTCCTACCCCCTTTCAGATAATTATCGTATGTGGGAAGACTACTGTCACATGCCCCACTGTCTCCCCACCTTTTCTGGCAACCCTGGTCTCGTGACAACTGTCACAGCCTTGCCCTCCCTGTCCTCGGTCATAGGTGTTTTTTGCTGTGTTCCCACCATACCCTGCACCCAACTCCATTTTGGTGCTTGTCGGCCCAAATCATACAGAGAGGACTTTTGCATCGTCACCACATGGCACTAGGGGAATCTAAATACGACAGTGGAGATGACTTTTCCACATCCGTCCATATGTCTTGCCACTGATGGTAATAATATCTGTAAGAGTTGCAGTTACAAAATCTCAACAGGGAACAAGCTAGCCCGGTAAAGGGACAATGCCAGTCACCAGAAAGGACTTTACTGGCTCTCAGTGGTATACTTCTCCTCCTCCCCAACCCGTTCCCTGGAACTTATTGGAAAATGGCAATTTTACTAAGCGGCAAGTTTATTTCTTCCTACCTCCCATTAACCAGGTTTAATGACCTCCTCCTGCGATGCCGAGAACTTGACACTTGGACACAAGACCTTGTCCTCCCAGCTGTAGTGTGGCTTTCTGGTTTCTTCAATCCTCAGGCCTTCTTAACCGGTAAGGGCTGCGCAGGATAGTTCCTGATGCACACAGGTCTTGCCTTGCTTTTCCTGTGACGCACCGCCCCTGCCTACCGATATTATGGAAAAGGAGTCGGAGAGACTGACAACTCTGGAGGAAATAAAGTCCCTAGCAGGAGGGCAGGGGGCCTCCAGGAGCAGCTGCCAAGTGAGACGGGGCGTGGTGTGCTCTGGTAAAGGGCTGCACAGTCTCTGCCACAGCGGTGCAAAAACCACCGCAGACAGTACGTAAACACGTGCTGCTCTAGTGCAGCCACAGGCAAATGCCCACGAGGCTGAAGGATGCCTCAGCCTGCTGCTGGTTGCTGGGAACCTTACATGAAATTTTTTTGTCCCTTTTCCTCCCAAAGCAATCATGCAGACCATGGCTCGAAAAAATGAGTGGCCCCTGGATAAAATGTGCTTGACTGTTGATGTTACCAAAAAAACCAAGGAAGACTATGGCCATCCCCCCAGGGAAGGTGCATATCTCCATGGGCTCCTCATGGAAGGTAAGAGACCCTAAGCCATCTGTGTATAACCTTTCAGACTCAGGTTCCAGTTGGTATTTGTCCTTTGTTCATTCTGTTTCTCAGCATCTACTCACACAGTAACCTTATGCTAGTGGTTATTTATCTCATTTCCTCCTCTTTCTTTCAAACAAATAATATAAATGCCAGGATGAGTGAGTATCCAATGTAAGCCCAACCATGAGGCATTTGGGGTGATGGCTATCACTTTAAATTTTGCATCTTTATCTGGTGTTAATGCCACAGGATTTGTGTTTCAGTATAAAATCTTTCTTCTACTTTTTAAAAACTGTCAGTAAATTTGCTCTAATATTTTACTACAAGAATTCTCCAGGCTTTTATGATGCCGTTGCACAGTGTGAATCTCTAACAGAGTCCTAGACTATGCAACATTTTTCAAATTTATTTGGCCAGTTATTCTTCAGGATGTCTAGTCCCTACGAAGATGTTCTGTTTTTACTGTAAAGCAAGTGCCACAAATTTTTTTAGGTATAAGAAAATAAGGTGCAGTGAGGAGGGAATGTGGTGCTTGGAGATTTCTTGTACTTTTTTTTTTTTTTTAAACAAAGGGCACACTTGTTTATGTATCTGAATTCTCAGTGAATCTGATTTCCATTAAATTATTTAGTTTACGCCCACAGGACTGCATGGAAGCAATCATTCATGAGAGCGGTACCTCTGCTGCAGGCCAGTTAACCTCCCTCTTAAACCTCAGTCATGGGCCAGGTGCGGTGGCTCACGCCTGTAATCCTAGCGCTTTGGGAGGATTGCTGGAGTTTGAGCCTAGCCTGGTGCATGCCTATAGTCCCAGCTACTTGGGAGGCTGAGGCAGGAGGATTGCTTGAGCCCAGAAGTTTAAGGTTGATGACAGCACTGCACTCTACTAGGGGTAACACAGGGAGACTTCTGTTTCAAGGAATGCCACTGACAAGCAAAAACATGACCAAACCGGAACTGTTTGTTTATTGCATCCAACAATCAGATCATCAGTACCAACATGCCAAAACATTGTATTTTCGCCCCAGGTGCCAGATGGGACACCCAGTCAGGAACCATTGTTGAAGCCTGCCTGAAGGAGCTGACATCCACGATGCCAGTCATCTTTGCGAGAGCCAGCCCCGTGGATAGACAAGAAACCAAACACACCTATGAGTGCCCCGTGTATAGAACCAAACTGAGAGGGCCCAGCTACATCTGGACCTTCAGGCTGAAGAGCAAAGAGAAGACTGCAAAATGGGTGCTGGCAGGAGTGGCTCTGCTGCTAGAAGCATAGGCTGACCCTCGGCTGGAGCACAGTGAGAACTTTGTCACTGTACCATTCCATTCCCATGCATGCTGAGTTATTCTACTCAATTTGTAGTAACTTACATGTGCATTTACTTTTTAAAATTGCTACCCTTAGGGGTAGAAAAATGAGGAAAAAATACTGGAAACCTACTGATTTTTAGCTTTCCCTGCTACCCCTCAGAAACCCCATCCCCCAACACAAAGAAGTACAGTTTCATGTTTTCATCAAGCTTCCTCTGAACACAGCCTCAAAAACAACTGGAGGAAGGAGGATAACAGCAAAATTTTTAAATTAAAAATTAGCCCTTAAATTCTTTCAAAACATAAAAGCAGCGGGCCCCAGGAAGAGGCAGACAGCCCTGCCAGCTAGCAGTGCACTGGGGCCTCCAGTGTCTGGAACGTGACAGTCCACTTTTAATAAAAATAAAACTCTAGTACTCTCACGTTCTGTGGTTAATTGCACTTTGTAATTTAGGGGATCATTCTTCAATATAAATTTCCCATGACTCCGAGCAGGTTATAAACCACGTGGGTTGAACTGTCATCACTCATGATAAGGCAAACCCCTGTAAACACTTGGCCTAGAGTTACTGTTTGGAAAGTAAAAGAGCAAGGCAACATGGGCAATTAAACAACGCCAAAGGCAAGAGCTGCTTATACAATGTCTTCTCTCTAACTTACCTGAACTTTAACTCCACCCCATTTAAATTGTGCTTTTTAATCATCGGCAGATACTTTTTTAACAATTCAGGACTCCTCTGCTGTCTTCCTGAGAAATCTTTTTAGGCATATAAACAAATACCATTTAGAAACAGTAAACTCTATGAAGAATTTGTGTAAAAACACAACTGTAAAAATCTTAGGCACAAATGGTATGCGTGTCTCGCTGGAGGTCTCTAAGCCGAGTTGGCTGGATCTTCTTTCTCTTACTTATCTTCTACCAGCTGCTTTTGTAAGCTGAGAAAAAGAAGTGAGTGATAAGCAATTAAACACAAAAGCAGCACTCTAGCTAGGGAGATTCAACACTCGCCAAGAGTACAAAGCCAGAACCCAGGTCTCCTGACCTCCCCTCACGGAAGTTATGCTGCCTCCTGCTCTGCATGGTCTGTGGGGTTCTCCCTCAGCCTGCCTTGTCTACACCTTTCATTTCTGTTACACATCACAGGGGAAAATATTTTTCTAATGCAGGCAGACACAGAAGGGATGGCACTGGAGGTCATTCATAAAAATCAGCTGTGAAATGAGGCAACAACTCCCTGCCTAGCGGGTCTCCCACGCTGGACCTGGGGATTACAGCCTCCATTGTTAAGCTGCTAGCGACTCACCTCTCCAGATATTCCTTAACGTTGTCATAACCATAAAACTTGGCCAGATGAATGAGGATTCCTGTGGCACAGCGGCCATCACGCTTCCGACAGTAACTGCAGTTGCAGATCCCACGGCAGGGAGGACACACCCAACCCTGAGAGAGAAGACACAAGAAATTTCCCCCATTATCCTCAGGCTCTGACCCAGCCAGGCTCAGCTTGGCCTCTCCTCCAACCTTTAATCACACGGTGGGAAGGCTCATCCAGTGCACCGTCTCCTTTCTCACGTTTCCCAAAGGCCCAGAAAGGCTGATCGCCCCACGTCACACACAAACACTGAAAGACGTTAGGTTCAGACAAGACCAGCAGGGCTCCCTGTTCAGAAACTATGGAGAATTTCAAGAGCAATTTAGCCAAGGTGTGGGGCTGTGTGACTGCGCAGGTCATAAGCCCATTAAGTCAGCCCTGGTTTCAGGAGCACAGGGGTTTCAAGAGATCAAGGTACGAATTCCAGACCTTCTAATATGCGTACTCATTGTTAAGTCACTTAGCCTAAGTAGCAGCTTATGTTCGTCTGTCAGTCGAGGACAGTATGTTTTCCCCATGACTGCTGCATGAGCGGGCACCATGAAGTAGGTAATAGCACACACTCTGGCCCAGGCTCAAGGTCATGCCTACTGACCATGATACTATTACCTCATTTTACAGAGAGAAGCTATATAACTACTTCATGAGGTTGAACAAATTAATAATTGAAATAACTGAAAATAAAATACGTGTGTTAACAGAAACACAGGTGGCACAGAGCCGGGCACACAGGAAGCACTCTATGCTGCCATCTACCCAGCCCCTGGCCTGCCCAAGAAAACTGAAGGGAAATCACTTTGCTGGAGGAAAGGCAGAGGGATTAACTTGTACAAAAACAGACAACTGTAAGAAAGTTTTGCTCTGACACGGGAAAATCCAACACAAACTCTTCTCCTATTCTACCTGTTGGTCGGCTTGCTCTCTTTCCAGAAGGAAACCCTATTTTTCATTTCCACCGGAGTCTTTAGATGCAGAAGGAGGGGAACGTGCAGAGAACTCTACAGAAACCAGAGCTCTGCATCTGCTGGTCCCAGTAAGGACCCAGGGAGCCCCATCTTCGGCTTGCTTCCTTCCCCAACCCGATTTATGACAAATGTAAACGCCATTCCTACCGGGTCCAGCAATGCTGATCTCACATCCTCCCCGTAGCGGTTCCGCAGGCACGGCCCACAGAACTGTCCTCGCACCCCGCCACAGCCCTGGTTCCGGCACACTGTCTTGGTGTCGATGGTCTTCTGCCGACACTGATGGCACGTGTTACCCTGGAGGGAAGAAGGCGGTGAGCATAGGGATTTATACGGTGATGCCTGCGAGGCCAGATGTCGTCATGTACGCTACCAGGTGCACAAAGCAGCACTGCCTGTCTCCTTGAATCTAGCAGGGCTATTTCCCTAGTACGAACCATGCTGTCTTCCTCCAGACAGTAAGCATTTCAGTTCTGGGGCCAGAAAAGCACATTAGGCCAAATGAGGCTGAGCAGAGAGCCAGGAGGAACACAACAATCAGGCCGTCAGGAAGGGAGACCAGAGGAAAGCTTGAGGCAGGGGTGGCAGAGCTCCCATAAGGTGACAGGTGACCAGGTGGCAATGAGCCTGGGGTGTCATCAACTCTGCTCCAGCCTAGTGCTGGTGACCTGCGTATCTTCAGTGTAAAATCTTCTGGTTTTAAAACATTGGCAACCTAATTAAAAACACTTTAGTACTAGCTTAAGGCAGCATACCATTACGTATCCCCAAAAATGATGCAGAAAGACCACCACAAAGCCTCCCTCTCCATCACGACTTGGAAGATATTTTAACCCATTTCCTACCGACCAAAGATACTCTGTCAAACTTTATTTTCTATGGTTATATTACTCCCCTCACCCCGATATACTGTCTTTTACAATATTTAAAATATAGAACTGTATAACTATTTAAAATATAATAATTATATACAAAAATCCTTTTTAAACTTTGCTCCTGCCTTCCCCCAGATTCTATGCATCCCCAAGAGGGCCGTCTCTCCTAATGAGAACTGCTGCACTACCTCCCCCTTCCCAGCCACAGCCGACCCCTGACCCTCCAATTTACAGCCTGCCTCTGAGCCCCTGGGGAGATGGCACTGTAGGCCCTGGTAACAGCGTAGGCTCTCAAATGCCAAAGCCTTAGACTCCCGATAAGAATCACAATCGTGCCAATTATTCATGATATATAATTTACCAGAACTTTATCGTAGATTTTATCTCGAACAGTTATGGCAACATTTTCTAAGTCCTCTTCAGTGATATCCTCCACTGGCCGAAAGGAAGATATACGGTGACGTCGTCTGTACTCCCGGCCTTTACCCTGCAAAACAAACAAAAGCAGAACCTGGAATAAGATTTTGAGCAGTTAAAACAAAAATTATAAAAATTTTAAACTCTCAAAGATCTAGCACCCTCAATGTTAACCACCACGTCCCTCTTCTATTTCCCTGGAACCAGTTCGTTCATTTAGTGATTTACTGAGCTGCTGCCAAAGTGCCAAGCTTCCCTCTCGGTAAGGTGATGCAACAATAAATGAGAAACTCAGGTTTCTTGGTTCTTTATTATATAAGCTCTATAGGGACAGGAAAGTAAACCAAGTGAACCATACTGAATAGCCAAACCCATGATGAGAACCAAGTTTCTCCCTCCAGCCTGCAAGCACCTGAAACGCCCCATTCCTGAAACAGAAAGGCAAGGAGGACTCACTATACTTCTCCACATGCAAAACCACCAAGAAGCTGACGGCAGCCGTTAACCGGCCTTTATTGCCTGCACCAGAGATCAAGTTGGAGTCCTAAGGAATGAGCTGTCAGCCCAGATAAGGACTGTTTCTGTGACCTACAGCTTAGACCAGGGGTTCTTCTCAAAGTGTGGTCCCTGAAGCATTAGCATCACCTAGGAACTTGAAGAAATGCAAGTTCTTAGCTGCTGCAGAGCTGCTGAGTCAGAACCTCTGCACTTTTCACCAGCCCCGGGGCATCTGTGATACGTGCTTCGGGACCAGTGGCTCAGACAAAGAATAATTCGTTTATCAGTCAGAAAATACCCCACTAATCGTCTTCCTTCTTCTGAAGCTGTAAAACTCTTCTGCAAATTTGGCGGCTGAGACAGTGAAGTTCTCCAGAGCAAACTTCTCAGGAGGCCGCGCACTCCGGGTAGGGTTCATGCGCCGCGTGATCTGTCCCTCCGAGAAGGCCCGCCTCACAGTTTTCTTCTTCTGAAATCAAGAGCACAGACACATGCAACTGGGAGCGTTTGAATAAAAGCCACCTGGTGACTGGCTACTAAATGTCACTACCGGTATGAATAATTATAAGGAGTTCCACTTACAGAAGCTGAGGTCGGGGTTCGTGCAGGGAAGAAATCCGGCACCGAGTTCAGCTCCGCCAATAACTGGGCAAGCTGAAGTTGAGAACAAAAGAAAGGATCTTACATAAATAATGATGCCAGGTCTAGGTCATCCGACACCCATCACAAGTCTTTGATTTTGCTACCGTAAGAAACCTAACTTAAGTAGTTTATGAAACCCTCAACATTTATACTTTTAATCTCACAATGTAAAGACTATCTCCAGAGGTAAGATGC